CATATATGAAAAAAAAACTAAATGCTCTCTGGTATTGTTCTGGGGTCCAGTCCAAATGGGGAGGCGGGCTGTAGTTTGGGGACCACTGGTCTATTAGATGGAATTGCCTTCACATTGATTAAAAAAAATCTTGCAATGAAATATACTGTTTATGTGGAAACTATCARTGCTGCGAGATGATCAGAATAAGCTCAAAGTGCCTGAATTTGACTTTGGGAAAAGGGTAAAACTTTTGGGTAAAACAACAAGTATTTACAAAAACGGTTTTAAAAATTTGTGCACATTTATTTATTTACTTGCTTTTCCTTTTTATTATTTTATTTATTAATCCTTTATCTTACCAGGGGTGCCCTGGCCAAAGCTGTCAACAAGAAGCATAACATTATTTTARTTTTTAATTAATGTTCAGATAATCTGCTAAATCCCACTGAGATCAGGTGTCTTGGTAAGGAAAAGAGCAATCATGTTMGTAAACTGCAGGTGTAAACAAGAGTACCTGGGGGAAAAAAACCCACACAAACAAAAGAACACAGAAAGACCCCAGACCCAAAGTGGGTTCTTGAACCCAAGACTTTCTTMCTGTGAGGCATCTGTTCTAACCACTAATCCACTGTTTCTCCTCTTCTTGCTTCCTATATTTTAAAGACAATAACAGTTCATCACACTCTGATATTCCTCATCAGCTTARTCCTTTATTTGAGCTTTTTGCAGTTTTGTGCAACATCACTAAGCTAGTCTTGACTGCTCCATTCCTGGATGTGTAAATATTTATACAATTATCTTGTTGATGTAGCTGTTTGGACAGTAAATCTCCTGATGTGCGTGTCCTCTCTGTAGTTGTTGTGTTCCGTCTGATAATGCCAGGTTGTAATTCTTAAAAACAGCAATCTGTAGTATTCTGCTTTTGTTACTAACGTCAGTAAATAAGTACCTGAAAGTCTGTGTTTTAGTAACCTCTACATTCTGGATCAGTCTTTGTTTTTTTAACGTGCTGGCACAACGGTAATTCAAATCTCTCACACTGATGATCAGGTGAGAATCTCCACGTCGCTCACCTAATTAAATGTAAAAGCAGGAACTTCGGATTTGTTTGCAGAATGATTTCTATTAGATTTTTTTATCGACTTCTAACGGGTCAAATAAAACAACTTTTGTGCTGGATGTGGCCTGTGGGCCTTAAAATGTCTGTTTTTGATTAAAGCTAGCAGCTAGCTAACCTGTCAGCCCTCATTTTAATGGTTTCTTGTTTCCAGTTTGTGGCGCTGATGTGTTGAAGCTGAGGCAGCAGTGTTTCCAAGGCTCACATTTGTTTCTTCATCCACAGATACTACAGGGGAACGCACGGGGTCATAGTGGTTTACGACGTCACGAGTGCGGAGTCCTTTGTCAACGTTAAACGATGGTTACATGAAATCAACCAGAACTGTGACGACGTGTGCCGAATATTAGGTGAYTGGCTTTAAAAAGACTCCAAAATAGATTTGTTTAACCTGAACAGATCTCTTRTTTTGTCATGTTTAAAACCAGGGAAGCCCTCTTTCACCAGCTTCTTTTTTTAATTTCCCAGTGGGAAACAAGAATGATGACCCCAACTCTAAGGTGGTAGAGACGACTGACGCACAGAAGTTTGCAGAGCAGATGGGAATCAGACTGTTTGAGACGAGTGCAAAGGAGAATAGCAATGTTGAAGAGGTAACTTAGTGCACGTGATATACTGTATATGTGGCTGATTAGTCTCTATCCTCTACCAAACTTAACTCTTGTTTTAACTATTTTGGTTTCTGACTGAGATTTAGTTTGAGCAGAGAATAATTCATTCATGTTCCAGGGTTCCTACAGTCTAAAGTTTGGTTGCAGTGTTTAAATGTGGGGAACAATGAAACAAAATACAGAAAAACATTTACAGTTTCTGTTCTCACGGCCATTATCTAAAAAGCAAAAATAAAAATCCCAAAGAATAAAAGTATTTTTCCACATTAACAGTAAATTAAATCAAACATACTATGTAACTTACTAAATTTCACAAAAAAAATCATTTTTTTATGAGGGGAAAATCACCCATTTCTTATAGTAAATTAAAGTTCATTATCCTCCCAAGATGCAGTTAAAACTGAWTAAAACAGCTTTTTATTATGAAAGAACCTATTGTAGAGGTTACTCTGTTGTGTGATAGTCTCATAATTATGTATCCTACATAGTAAAAAAAATAAGAAAAACTTCTCTGTAGTACTTTTCCAAATAAATTAATCTACAATTCTGAACCACTGGTACACACTCAACGTAAAAAATAAATTTAATCTGCATGTTTTACTCAACAAGTCTGAGCATAAATACAAATACATCCACATTGTCTGGATTTCACTTTGGCTGTTTTCATAGGTAAACAAACATGTGGTAGCTGGCAGCCAGTCATAAATTTTATTTACTAATTTAAATTTAAGGACACATTAGCTATAATTGAGAAAACTTGCAAAAAATAATGTTTTTTACTTATTGAATTAATTTTAACCGGTCTTTTTGGTTTTGGAATGATAAACTTTAAGATGAAAAGCAATTCTTAATAAAAGTGGTTCTTCTTTCTAAGCTTTAACCTGATTATATATATATTTATTATTATTCAGCCTCTGTTTTTAAGGTGGTCTAATTGATAGAGGTGTTTTTATCTAGCAGAAATCACACTCTTAGAATCCTGATGTTCTGATTTTTATCTCAGTTCTTATCAAATAATCTTCCTCCCTACACTGTTCTTGTTGTCGTAGTAGATCTAAATCTGTCTGTTTGCCTGTGGGAGAGAAATGTCCAAACACTAATCAGATTTAGTCACAGAGAAGAGTTTCAGTTGTCGTCTTTCAGGAGAACAAAAGCTCATCCAGCCGTCCAGTAAAAATGAACTTGTTTGTGTTGTTTGGTTGTCYTCCTGCAGATGTTCAACTGCATCACAGAGCTCGTGTTGAAAGCCAAGAAGGAGGTGCTAGCCAAGCAGCAGCAGCAGCAACAGAACGACGTGGTCAAACTCACCCGGAACAGTAAACGAAAGAAAAAGTGCTGCTAGCAAACTCGTCCCCACCCAAAAAAAAAGGCCCGGAGGCATCTTCACACACACATATACACCACCCGCTGGGACTCAGAGCATTTAAATTAAAGAGCAGATAAAGATTTAATAAGTATACCTTGAAAGAATAAAAAGAAATAAATAAGATAAATGGAAAATTGTCCCCTTTGGACAAAACTAATCATGAAGACTTTAAACAGATGTACAGATTTTTATTAGATGTCAGATCAAGTTTTATTTGAAATTCAGCAAACAGACACCGTTAACCCGAGGTCGTCCTCATGGAAGGATGTGTGAGCGGACAGCTGATGCCATGACGCTCAGATCTGCATCACCACCACCCCGTTGTTCTTCCATCAGTGTCTCATCTCTCCCTCCTCGTCACTGCACACAGGACGCTCAGTCTGCTGCACCTGAGGACCACTCAGCCTTCCTGGATTGAGTCGCTTCAAGTGGTTTTTATTTGAATTTTTCTGTGTTGTTGAAGTTGGGTGAATGATGGAAGGTCTCAGCACCTCTGCAGTTTAAACATTTCCATCATGAACTTCTAGTTTTTATTTAGTTTGACTTGTTGGAGGAAGAAATCACACAAACCATGATTAGTAGACAACCTTTTAGCACCAAATCTGATGGACAGAACTTGTGACTTTTCGTATAAAGTATTTTTGTTTCTATATTTTGCCAAGCTTCACACCCTCTCCTGTCTAACACCCAGTAGTGCTGAGCCAGTAATAGTTTGTTTTAATGGTGGCAGAGCAGTTGAACCACTCCTGTAGCTCTGACTCTCTTCACCTCAGTCTTACTATACTTTGCTTTGAAACATTTTTCTCCCACTTATTTTGTTAAAAAAAAAAGATACTGCCAATATTATAGATAAAATACATATTAGGAGCTCAGAAGAGCCTCTCATTGGACTGTTGCCATAGTGGCCGTGGTTGGCCAAGAAGCAGGGTGAATCAGTGTTTGATGCCACCCTGTTGAGACCTCAGGAAGTGTTCCCTCCCTCCTTCCCTTCTCTCCTCCCTCAGCGCCCACATTTCTGCACCTGGCAGCGATGGACTTGCCCTGTGCAAGCACAGAGCTCAGACTCTAGAGCCTTGCGTGTAAAGTCATCGCTGTGACCTCTAATCCAGAGAAGACCTTTTTTGTTTTTTTGCTTCTGTTTTTCAGCATGTGACGCTTCGTTTGAATCGATGTGTGAGGTCAGAACTGACGCGTGGGTTCTCCTCTCGCAGAATATTCTCAACGGCCGACTAATGTGCTGCAAAAACTGTCCATCTTACCAAGTTTTAAAATCTTATATCCAGCCAAAAAGTCTTTTTGATCTTGTTTTCAGACTGATTTACTAACAAGAACTGATTGTATAAGAATAATAATAGTTTTCAGAATGTGTAAGATTATTTGTCTTGTTAGCCTGAAAATTTGACTCAAATTAAGTCAAAAAATTCTGCCAATGGAGTAAGAAAATTTTACTTTGTAAGATTCTTAAAATGAGAAAAAATTGAGTCAAATCACTGCAAAACCATGGGCAGAAATTTTTGACTTAATTTGAGTCAAATTTTCAGGCTAAGACAAATAATCTTACACATTCTGAAAACAAGATTATTTTTCTTACACAATCATTTCTTGTTAGTAAATCAGTCTCAAAACAAGATCAAAAAGACTTTTTGGCTGATGTAAGATTTTAAAACTTGGTTAGGGGGACATGTTTTGCAGTGTGCATCATGTTTTTGTCACCCCCCCCCTCCCCCCGCTCAAACTGAAGTGTTAATAGTGTTTTTGATGTCCACGGTGAGGGTGTGGCCCACTGTGTTAACGTGAGAACAAACAGGAACCAACTGCGGCACTGGATCCCTTTGTGTTTGGACCTGAGTTGCCCTGGCCCCGCCATAGTTTAGTCAGGGAGGCTGAAGCAGCACACTGTGTCTATTACTGACCCCCTTTTTTTCTTTGTTTTGATTTGGGAGAGTTGTACATGGAGAGATGGAGGTGCTGTGTTTTAGCTTCTGTTCTCTGGGCAGGCTCTGGCTGACGGTTTGGGATCCGGATGCATGTCAAAAGGCCTAGAAATCAAATGAAATCTCACTTATTTTCATTATGTGTATGTATATAGAAATAAATGTGTGTTTATATTCAATATAAAAACCTACACACACAGTTAACACACCAAACTGTGCGTGTGTTACACATGCCTGGTGTGCTATGGTTAAAACACACTCGTCAGCTGTGGTTTGCTGTACACTGGAGACAAAAAAACAAACAAAAAAACAAAACAAAAGATGTGCTATTTAGTTTTCCCTACATGAATTTAATCAGTAATAAACATTTTAAAGGAATAAACATTTGACATGATGGCTGATCTTGTTAAGACTTGGTCCCAAGTTCATTTCACACCTGTCTTATTATTTTTGGTTTTCTGTGAATAAAATTGTATGGAAGGAAGCGTGAACTAATCTTTACAGCAAGATTATGGAAGGAAAAAATAATCCTTCAGCACATTGTTTTTAAAGGCCCTGTCCCATTATAACATTTTAGACAACTTCTGAAGCTTTACATCTACATTAAAGATGAAGTTAAAAACATCACCTGGAAGCCTCGTTAGGTGTTTACATACTGTAATGCTAATAAATTGATTGAATATAGAACTTTTATTAGTAATTTGGACATTTAAAAATCACGAGTTGTCTAAAACGTAACGGTATCAGAGGTGCTTTATCTGCTGATTCAACCCTGACGTCTGCATTAGATAAGATATCTGATCAAATATAATAGTATAATAAGAGTAATATATATCTCAGTAAATTTACAAATTTGTTTATTATCAGCTTTAAGTCTAAACAGGATTCAGACTGCTGCTTTCTGAGATGATTAATCCATTTAAATCAAGAGTGTCAAACTGGAATTGGGGGTTGGAGGGCAGCAGAGGGTCTTCAGTTATCAGATCTGCTGGACCACCACAGAAGAGTCTTCCTGCCCAACAGCCATCAGTGTTTATAACAACTCTAAAGAAACAAGGATAATATGAGTTACAACATTTATTTCCCTTTGGGATTAATAAAGTATTTTTGAATTGAATCGAACTGAATAAAATAATAAACACTTGGTCTTAGTCTTGGTCAATTCATTAAAAAAGGAAAAAAAGTTAGAAACTTGCCCTGGTTTCTAGCTGTATCATCAAATTATACAACGATATAAATTAGTATGGAAACACGTAGTAAAGGAGACGTGAAAACCACTTTTTAGCTCTCAAATGTATTTTGTTGTGTTCTTTGAATCTCTAGGAGGCAGAAAAGTTTAATTTCTGGTGCTACAAAGATATATTCTGTTTATGTCAGATTTTTCAACCCTTTCAGTTTTTTTCTGTTTTCTGTGATGTTTTCTGACCTATTATGTCAAATTATCTGCAATGGAACTGCCAAATAAGGTCTGGACTTACCAACTCCAATTTCCTCATCCTAATTCTCCTCAGGTTCTGGGTCAGACTCTGGCTCCAACATGTTTTATTTATTTAATTTAGCCTTTATTTACCCAGGGAAACTGTTTGAGAACAACGTCTCATTTACAAACATGACCCGTAAGGCTGGATGGACAAGTCTTCTGTTGTCATCTTCATCAAACTGTAAATAAAAATGTTTCTGCAAGCTTGACCCCCGCTTCAAACTGGAGAGGACCGGTCTGGAAGCCGGAGGGGGGCGGGCCATGAAGCATCACTAAGGAGCAGTAAAACACTTGTTTGGGTGGAGTTTGCATGTTCTCTTAGTGCATGGTTTTCTCCAGAAATTAGTTAAAATTAGAACAGCAGGTAATAGAACAAAGGAAAAAAAATAAAAGGATGTAAAAAGATCGGTAGATGTGGCCATCAACCGGTATGGCGATTTCTTGAAGTGTGGGGGATTAGCTCAGAAGGTAGAGTGCTCGCTTGGTGTGCGAGAGGCAGCGGGAGTGATGCCCGCATCCTCCAGAAATCATTCTTTAAAAGAAATAACATTTTGAGAATTTAAAAAAACTCTACGATAATCGTTATACAAGTTCTTCAATTTCGTTTTACACCTCAATCTGTTCATTTGTGAGAGAACACATATCTTCTGAAAGCGTGAACAAACAACCTCCGAGCCGGATTTGATCCAGCAACTTAAGGATCTCTATCTGGTTCCTCTACCTACTGAGAGGAGAGAAGTACTGAGCCGAAAGAGACAGCTGTAAATGTGAGCTGCTGCTTTGTCAGACAAATTTAATTTAATTTGGAAGCCTTATTAACACAGACTGGCTTCATTCACTTCCTCCACTGCAGTATGCTAAAATAACTAGCAGACACCGCACAGAACATCGACGTCATTCAAAACTCCTCCTTCTGTTCTCTGATTGGCCCAGGTAAAATAAACTACAAGCAGACACTGCACAGAAAATTGATATCGTTCAAAGCCCCTCCTTCTGTTTGCTGATTGGCCCAGGTAAAATAAACTACAAGCAGACACTGCACAGAAAATTGACGTTCTCTTCTCTGATTGGCCCGGCTAAAAATCTGCCAGCGAAATCCTTGTCTATGGGAGAAGTCCCAGACGGAGCAGWGAAGGGAAACTAGAATTGAGCGGAACTGTGTAGGAAGGCAAGGGCCAGGCTAGGTTCATCCTAAAAGTGAAAAAAAAAGGAAATCCAAAATAAATGGGTCAATACCTTTATTATAATTATGATTCACGTTACAAATTAAGACATTAGTTGCTGCCATTTTCATCCAATCTTGTTTACAAGGAGCCGTCGGTTGAGTTACTATTGAATAGTAATTTGATTGTGGTTACCCAATAAAGGTAGTTTTACTAACAGTAGTTTTTCTTTTGTATCATAATTACCACGTAATTACATGGTAATAAGGTAGTAATTACATTAACATTTTTATTACCTTGTAATTACATGGTAATAATGGTACCGTAAAAGAAAGCGTAACCGTAATACATTACCAGGTAAGTGCTATATTACTGCAGACAATTACATAGTAAAATTGTACCCCAGTTACCACGTAATTACATGGTGATAAGGGTACTGTAAAACAAAGTGTTACCACTGTTTAAATATGCATACGTATTATTATTACCTCCGCCAAGAAGGTAATGATTTCGGTCGTGTATGTCCATCTGTCTGTCGTTCTGTCTGTGGACAACATTACTCAAAAACTTGTGGATGGATTGTCATGACATTTTTACCACATGTGGTACTGGCCCAAGTAACACACCATTACATTTTGGTGATGTTACGGATCACGATGCGGACACAGGAATTTTTTTTCTTTTAATCCTCTGAGATCAGCAAAGCTGTGATGCTTTCACAGGGCTTCTGTAAAAAAACAGTGACAGCTTTCAGTGTTCATTTGTACGGAAGCCGAGAGCGGCCATTTTCCGCTGATAATTATTTTCCATGGTTTTCTTGTGATAACGACATAATATGTCATTGTAATGAGATAACAAGGACTGTTTTCCCGTGATAACGAGTTAATTATGTCYTCATCACGAGATAACAATGACCGTTTTGTCGAGATAAGTTGATTTCCAGATGGGTTCCCTCTTGTGTATCAATCAGTAACCATGGAGACAGCCTTAGCTGTTCATCAGTGAAGTTATCTATCTACAGTGGTTTGCAAAAGTATTCATACCCCTTGAACTTTTCCATATTTTGTCACATTACAACCACAAACATAAATATATTTCACTGGAATTT